AACTTCGATATCCTCAGGAATCTCGAAATCTTCCGACATTGCCCGAGCAGCTGCTCTTGCGGCTGCTTTCGTTCGTCGGGCTTTGTGTTCCCGTGCATCATGCGCAGCAAGGAGCGTTCGTTCGGAAGAAATTGCCTCTCTACGATCCGCAAGCAGTGCGGCATATGCCTGCATATATATCTCGGCCTCGCCCTGAGTTTCCAATGTACGAGAGTACTCCTCCCCATCGGCCTGATCATTATTTACTGTCAACTTCTGAGTCAGCAAAGTGTGGATGCGAGTGCGCCACTCCCACAGAAGAGCGGTCTGTTCGTTCAATGCGAGCTCTATGATGTCATTGGCTTCGTCAAACTGGCCAGACTGGTGTCAGTATCGACACAAAGTGGAATACCCCAAGGAAGGGAGCTCACGAGATGCGTCGATTTGATTCCGCCTTTATCAAGAAGGGGAAGTGGAATTTGCAAGGACTGCTCGGTAACGCCTCGTCCAGTAGCGTCAGCACGCAGGAGGTTCATTACTTTGTTGGCACTCTCTTCCGTCGCTACGTGCCTTGTCAGTGGGAGCATAAGGAAAGCTGTTGGGAATTCGCACATTTCAGCAGATTTTTTCGCAGCATCTCGGCTGCAGCATACGAGGCATCTTCCTTATCTGACTGCGATGCACCTAGAACGTGATACACATCTCCCTGCAAAAATTTGACACGGTGCAAAACTATCAAACACTCTCGTAACCGCTGCTGCAGGGCCCGCCGCTTGATACTGTGCTCTTCGCCTGCGGGGGTCTTTGGAAGACCTCGGTCTTCAACGTCTTCAACGTCATCAATGTCCTCATCTACATCGGTGAGAGGTGACATTGCTCGTTTTCCTTTGCCCTTGTCTATCTTCGAAAAGTCCGGAAGGTTCTGCTGGCGAGATTCTCGGAGAGCTCGCGCTTCATTTTTCAGCGCTTCTCCTTTGACTTGGTGTTCTGCTATGGTGGTCTTTATGTCGTCGATTATGTCGTTTGCTTCTTGCTCTGCCATCGTGAGGAAATCCAAAGCACGTTGGTATCGATTAAGGTTCTGCTCGTTGTGTTGCTGGAGCTGGGCCAAGCGAACAAGGGTTTGAACCTGGAGGGATGAATCAATTCTTGCAAGCATGGATGACAAGAACGATGACGCTTGCCTTCGCCTTACGATCATCCATGAAATTACGCCAGTTCTGGTCTCTCATAGCCTGTCATCTATGAGCTCAACAGGTTAGGAAAGGGAGAAAAACACATGCCTCGAGAACGTCGCCGATGGTCTTGAGGGCACCAGGCTTATCACCTGGCCGCTGCAACTGTCCGACTTGAGGATGAGTACAGATACCACGAAGCTTTCTCAACACATTCCGCAGTAGAGTGGCATCAACCTGCCACCCTTCAGAAGCAGCAACTCCACGCGCGTCCAAACCCAGCTCAACCAATGCTGCCTCGAGATGGTGATCGTAAACCTTCGATACTATCATATTTTATCTCTCAGCGTGCATGTCATGACTTACATGGCGTTCGACTCTTCCTAGCTCGATACCAACCAGATATCTCCGCTGCTGCGGGATGGTTAATTCGTCCTTGACTGCGGACTTGAGTGTTCTGGTGTGCATTTAATAAGGACGCGCAAGGCTCCTTCATCAAGTCACTCACCGGATAGCATATCGTTGAAATAGATCAGCGAATTGGTTCTTGAATGCGTGCTTCATCAAGCGATTCCACATGCGGGTTGGACCGACGACATCGTCGACACGTAAGAACCTGTCACGGTGGTATCAGTTCATCATCAGAAAACGTCAGTCTATCTAACCTTAAAACACGAATGAGGTCAGAAACCTGAGTACGGGCTGGTGTTCCAGACACCGCAAACGACGATAGTCGAGGGACCAAAGACACCATCTCTCTGAAGGCCACAATCATCCAGTAATTCAATCACCAATAGAACAAGAGATCCTACTCGGATTTGCCGGTCCCCATCATTTGTACTTCATCCATAATCACTCTATACCACTCGCACATGACAAGGGGACTTCTAGGACGGTCAAGGTTTGAGTACTCTACTTGTGCACGACGAGGACGTTTGGGCGGTGCGCGGGCAACAGTCAAGTCTTGACGGAGCACATTGTATGTCGTGATGCAAATATCGAATGTGTTCACGTAGGAGCACCAATCAAGTATGTCGTCATCTTCATCATAAATCGCCCTCGCCTTCCCTTTCTTGGTCTTTTGAACTTTGAATCCGTTTTGTCCAGCTTGGTTCTTCTGTGCACTGTAACGTCGTTCTCGTTCGTCTTCGACATCGTCCAGGGTGATAGGCACGCTGACTTTGGACCAACCATCGTAAATGAGAACCTTGAGCCCTGGGGCATGAACAGCAAGCTCATCTGCCCATTGAGGTGCTAGTGCAGGGGGAGTGACGATGAGGGTAGTCTGTTACACGTCTATGTCAATCGGTCTTTCAAATGACGCATAGGGGCACTACCTTGATCTCCTTCACTTCGAGCTTAGCTTCAGCATCCCACCGTGTGTTGGTAGGATTGCGATCGGGTGCGGGGTTCAGCAGAATGAGAGAAATACACTCAATTGTCTTCCCGAGCCCTGCACTTCATCAATATGATACAAGTGAGGTCAATAGTATTGCGAGGTACCTGGCTCTTCTGCAAGTATTCCCCCTAGTGCAGCGTTATCTTCTACAGGAGAAGGGGTTACGATGCCGACGAGTGTATTAAAGAAGTGTTCCCGCCCCCCGAGAGAGATCTTGTCCCAAAATGGAGGCATGAGGAACCGGGACTGGGAAGAGTGTAGGGCATGACGCCGCCTTCCTGCGTTATTGTCTTCCCTTCGTGTAGGAGCATCCACTGGACACTACGCCGTTGGAAGGGTAAGAGCACTGGCAACAAGCCCTCAGGCTGGAGGGACTCGTATGTCACGCCTTGCGAAAGAGCGGGTGCTGGGCGAAGAATGCTGTAGAAGAATGGAATACTTGCGTCCCCTCTTGTATCATGTTCACTGTCGAATAGCGGGTGGTCAACCGATGTCAGGGCAAAAAGAGCAATCAGGCGTCTCTGTAATCCTTCGAGTTCGGAAACGCGCTTCTGGGAAATCTTCTTGGTGTCAAATGTTTCATACAATCTAGGCACAATAATGGACACGTTGAACTGTGCGCATAGTCGAAAAGGTAACTCCTCTGCAGGGTCGTAGCCACCCTCAGGAAGGGTGATCACACAAACGCTTGTCTCGATTTTCGCACGACCTAACGACTGAAAGGTGAAGAGTGCCTTGAGAAGATCACCATGCTGTTGCATGTCATCCTCTTCTTCTTCGTGTGCTTCTGGCCATGCAACTTGAGGAAGGAGGAAGAACCACCGCTCACTTTTCTCCTTGATTTCCTCAGGATAATGGTTTATGGGACAGTCTGGCTCGCTCGAAAGAGCTAACAAGCGCGTTTTGTAGTTCTGAACCCAGAACCTGCCAAGGTCAAATGTTTGAGGTTGAGAACGGTCAGGGCATAGCGCAGTAAATAGAGAAAGGAGATCATATTCCTCCTTAAGCCACCCAAGTTTCTTCGCTGCTTGGTCGGGCACGTAAGAGCCGTTGTCATCACCTTGGGCTGATTTCGTGTAACGCATTTCGAAAGAGTATGTGAAGGACTGGTAGAAACTGGTTTTCGAGATCAATTTTTGGTTCCTCGTAATGACGTTCTTCCCATATGCATGGGTACACCTGCTTGTAAGCTGGGTTTTGCCAGTTGTCTTCGCATCCATAGGAGCCGTCCAAGGATGGTTCTGAGTCTTCTGACTGATCGTCAGCATCCAATTCATCACCACCCTCGGCAACCCTCCTTCTCTTGCTCTTTACGGGTGATGCAGAAGCAGAGCGTCGTCGCTTGTTCCCCACGTGTTGTTCAACTTCGACATCAGCTTCCCGTACGCCTCCATCGACTTCAAGTGCTTCATCATGTACATCATGATCTCCTTCGTCTCCTCCATCGGCATTCTCTTCCTTCGGAGGTTTTAAAAGGGTAATTATTGTATTCAAGTTGATTGCAGGACGAAAGTTGTCAAAATCTGATGGTCTGAGCTGCTGCGAATCCCAGAAATACGACTGTTTGTGACGAGCAGACTCTGTATATTTTCCGCTGATAGTACGAATGTCCTCCATCCCAGAAAAATACTTGCATACGCGAGGATGGTGGTGGATCGTGGTTAAAAATGATGGCGTGACATGCGCGTGATAGACGGGGGGCCGTTGATACGCGGCTGTCACGTGATCCAAACGCATCCCTCGGAACCTAGTCCAGTTCTTTGCTGTTGTCAATGCGTGACTTTTCTTAATGTCCTTCCAGAATCCACTTGTCGTTTCCGTACGCGTTACAGATACACAAGGCTATCAGGATTTTAAGGTGTTTTAACGGGGTCATCGTTGAGTTTTCTTTGCTAGATACCACAAAAAAAATACTCTCTAAGAGTCTCCCACTGCTCACACGTTCACGTCTAGTCACGCTTTCATCACTTGCGTTGTCGTCTGCTGCTGGACGGCTGAGCTTCTCATATTACAACCAATTGTCTTGTTCTCGCGGATCGTCTCTGGTGCATGGTGTTCCACGATGCGCTCGATCATCCTCCCCCCCACAGACGAATTGTGTAGAATCATTCGGCTTTTCTTTGCGCGCCATCTTCAGTGATTTGAACATTGTTTGCGTTTGCCATTACCTTGGGACACACTCGATTCTACATTTTGCATTTGTGTGCTAACTGAGTGGTATGATGAGTAGCAATCAACACAAGACATTGTAAGACTTGCTGCATGTCCGCTTCAACCTTTCGCTGAAAACTCATCATGGCGTCGTTATTCTTCCACTAATCCTGATTGGTAATCTCAATCATACCAGCATCTATCATACCGAAGCATTGTACACAGTGCAGCATGACTTCAACCTCTTCAGCCGAACTCCATCCACAGTCCCCATATCCCACTCATTCTATCCACCACTCAGTCCGCCACTCAGCTCATCCTCGATCCTCATCATTTTGCTCCATCGCACCATCATGCCTGGTAGCTTAGAAACCCAATATATCAGGCTTGAAGGTGAGTCCCTCCATATTACCTTCGTGTCTATTCCATGGTCCTCACTCTCTATCTACAGTCATCAATGGAAAGAATCTTCGTCCTGCGGGCGTATTCCCGCTGGCTTCTACATATCCATCAATGTAAACTCTTGTAGACGTTGGAAATCGGCCATCAGTGTCTTATCATCTGATGAATCTGTAGTGTGGGGGGATTCTGTAACTCTGTAAAGTCCATGTAGACTTTTTGACACGATGGGAGAACTGACCTTTAGTTCATAGATCATCACATGCCTCACCTGCGTTATCAGTGGAGATCAGGGCATCCTATGAACTTGGTCGAATGCTGGGCGGTGGAGAGGTCATCGGGGAACTTCAAATGTCGTGGGATGAGTTAATCGATCATGGAGGTAAGCCATTTGGCGTGTGACTTGCTCCTCATTCATGCGCATATACTAATATCTCGTAGATTTATCCTTCCCACACGTGCGCGGTGTCCAACCTTTCCTCGCACTGAAGGCCGCCGTTGTACATGCTTGCGACAATCAAAATGGCGCACTGTCCTGATGCGAGTGACGCTGCTCTCTGTCCCGTTAGCTTTTGCTGACAGAACACCCACTATAGTCACTCGTAGACTGCAGGGTTTCTCAAGGACACAGATGCGGGCCACGCAAGACTTGCCAATTACATAGCAAGCGCGAATGTCTCTCACTTGAACGCTGCTGTAGAACATTTTCAGTTGGTTCTGGACCAGCGTCCTGTCAGCCATCCAGACCACGCGGCAGCTCTCACCAACCTTGCGTATGCGCGCTTTCAAGGATATATCCGAAATGACCTTCAAGATATAGATTCCATCACTTCCCTCTTCCGCGACGCCCTTGCATTGCGTTCGCAGCGCCATCCCGATCGTCCCTATTCTCTATATAATCTCACCCTAGCCCTGACTTGGTACCACAACAAGAAAAGTACTGCTGCCGACATCCGTGAAGCCGCCCAACTTTATCATGAACTACTTCCTCTCTGTTCAGAGGGCACCTGCCTTCATAGCATCGCGGCAGGGGCAAACGGTGTTGGTTATGTGATCGAGGAATACAACGATCTTCTAATAAACGCCTCTGATGAAGACATCCACTTTGGACAAGTCATCCTCGAGCTCTGTCCTTTGGGCCATGAACTCCGTCCGAGAACACTTGACAGTCTTTCATGGGCTCTCAGATCACGCTTTAGACAGCATGGCAGCATCGATGATCTCAACACGAGCATACAACTCGGTCGTGATGCCATGTCTCTGTGTCCCGAGCGACATGCTGACCGTGATTTCTACCTGGACAACTTGGCCTTATCACTTGTGTCCCGCTTCCATCACCAAGGCAAACCTAGCGACCTCAATGAGGCCATCTCTTTGTATGAAGAAGCGCTGTGCCTGTGCCCTGTTGGGCACGAATCTCGTGATTACTCGTTGGACAGCCTAGGGAGCGCCTGCTTCACCTGTTTCTTTAAACGCGGCGATACTGATGCCCTCACCCGAGCTATCAACCTCTATCGCGAGGTACTGATGTTGCGCCCACCTGGGCATCCACGTCGTGACATCACGCTTTGCAACCTTGCCCTCGCGCTCCAAACGAGATATGAGAAATTGCATCTCAAGGAGGATCTTAACGAGGCCATTGATCTGTATCGCGAATCCCTTCGGTTAATGTGGCATGACCATTCAGAGCGCCATGTAACCATTTACGGTTTGAGCTCAGTGCTCTGCTCTCGTTTCACGCAAACTCAGGAGAATGAAGATGTTGAGGAGGCTATTACTCTTTGCCAAGGATTATTGGCGGCTCTGTCTCCACTGCACCCGGACAGGTATCTCAGCTACATGGGGCTGCAGGAGGTTTATTTGTCTCGTTACCAGATTCTACATGACCATGCTGATTTGTCGCTCGCTATGGAGAACTTCAGACTCGCATCAAGATACCCTACTCAAGGATTTCGAGAACGCATTATAACAGCCCAGAACTGGGTCACCGCAGCAGAGCAGTATAGTCATACATCTGCACCGGAGGCCTATGACACATGTTTCGACCTTGGCGATTATTTGGCAACACGATCGTTGGCAACTTCACAGTGTTAAGCTGCCGCTTCCTTCCATTATACCAGAACACTCCCTGTAGATGCAGCATCATGTCCCATCTGCTGCCACAATCTACGACACGCAGTAGAATTCGTGGAGCACGGCTGTGACCAGCAATGGTCACTGGCATCTCGACTCAGGACACCAGTTGAAGACCTTGAATCAGCAAATCCGACACTAGTGCACAATTATTTGGAACTGAGCAAGCACGTTTCCAATGCTGCCCAGAGTTCTGCGACTATCACCGACAGAGCTGCTGCTAATCGGGCAGCTACAGAGTATAGGAGACTTACGGAGCAGTGGGCAGCTGCAGTAGTTGAGATACGTGATCTTCGGGCATTCTCGCGGTCCCTGCTTCCACCTTTGTACGAAAACTTGCAAGCGGCAGTACGTCAGGATCCGGTCATCATCTTCATTGCAAGTCGATACTCGCGCATCGTCATCATCGTCCCAACGTCAGGAGACCCCGTCATGTTCCCTTACCGTCTGTCACTCTCGCAGAGCTGACCAATCTCAAGGATCGCTTCGTTAGGGTAATACGACACGCATCTATCATGGGCCCAAAAGTGCCGCGGAACGATCTAATAGTCCTTTTGCGGGCAGTACGGGGCGAGATCATGCTGCCCATCGTCAATGTCCTCCAGCATGATCCGAAATTAGAATTCCACTCTCGAATCTGGCTGTGTCCAACTGCAGCATTCACGTCTATTCCTCTCCACGCAGTTCACCCCTTTAAAACGAAGGCAGATGGCTCTAAGGAGCCATGCCTGGAAGATATCTACGTCTGCTCTCACATGCCGACACTTTCGGCCCTGGTCAGATCTAGACAGATGATGAAGAAACGTGTCACTCCATCCTTCGTGACAATCGGACGGGGTAAACTGGGTGCAGGGAAAGGCAAGGAACTCCTGGCTGTCGACAGCGGGCTCGAGCTTGTCTATAGGCTCGTCCCTGCGACAGCCAACCGGACCACTATTTCAGGCGACGCAGCCACACGAGCAGGTGCACTCGAAGCTTTGCGGCGGGACACCTGGGTGCACCTTGCTCGTCATGGCAAGCAAGACCTTGCGCAGCCTTATAATTCGCATTTCGTCATGAAAGATAAACATCTGATGTTTCTCGATATCATCGACATAGACATTCTGTACGCCGAGTTCGCGTTCTTATCAGTATGTTGTACCACCGTCGGCGATGATGAGACGCCAGACGAAGTGATTCACCTCGTAGCCGGTCTTCAGTTTTCAGGGTTCAAGAGCATCATTGGCACGCTGCGGGAGGTCGACGATTCTGTCGCGAAACACGTCGTTGAAGCTTTCTACAAATATATGTTCAATCTGAAGGAGGGCCTGTACGAAGGCGGCCTGGGCACTCAGCTGTGCTATGCACGCTCTGAAGACAAAAATGCCACTTGAGCAGAGGATGGTTTTTATTCATATTGGCGTGTTGTATTACTGTCGTCTGGTACATATTCACAAGTTGTTGATCTGCGATCCCCTTTCATGATATCCTGTTGTAAAAATGACCCTGATATATTCTTACGCTCTAGCTATCTCGTTTTCGTATACTCTGCCGTGTTTTTGTCTACTAGAATATTCACGAAAATTCTTGTGTACTCAACTCGTTTGCAGTCTCGTCTTCTGCTCGAGAACTTAGGTAGTATGAGCCGGGCCAGTCAAACTGACTCGCGCCTTCCAGTCATACAATGTATCCTTCAAGCTTCATGCGTCCAAGTCCTTCTGCACCATGGAACGTCGACTAACCACTGCCAATGTAATCAATTCCAAGTTAGAAGCAGGGCTCATCCAACTCATCCATGCAAAGCATGTACGCCCGTCGAAGTCGGTAGTTTCATCCATCCCGAATTCATGTCTCAGGCAGCCATCATGCATATTCTTACGTGCAATGGTTTTTAAAATCAAATCTTGTGGGGTAATGTTCCCTATCATAAGTCTAGGAGACCTCTGCGTCACGCTCCTCATCTCTACCAAGTCCACAGAAGGTCGAGCTTCAAGAGTTGAGACAGAAAAGGGTAAAAGTATGACTTGCTCATGCATAGGAAATGTGAGTGTCATAGCAGGGATGGTAGATTTGGAAACACAACGGGCCATTTTGCGAGGTCAGCTTTCGAGTGAAGGTAAGAGACAAGAGAAGACTCATGCGCACTGAGGGGTCAACTTCTCGTACCGCCTGACTTCAGCCACAACTACGGAGGTTATCAGCAGGCCTTGAATCATAGAAGACTTCTGGGTCTAGTTACCAGTCACTGGGCGAAACAGTGCGAGGAACATGATGGTCGATAACGGGATTAAATACCGGCACAGCCTGGATAGGTAAGTCTGATGAAAAAGAAGTCATATTCGGGGATCTGCGATGAAACTATGGACACTCACTGGGCGAGAATAGTCAGATTATTTGTATGTCCGATCTGCAGCTTGCTGATTTTTTAACTAAATAATTGATCGTAGAAGGGAAGGATCAGTGCCCACCGAAACACCACTATCTCGCGTGTTTGAAATAACACACGTCGGGCGCCAAATCCCTCGTGGATGGTTCCGTGTAAGAATCATCCCAGGAAGATAGAGGCTCTGCGGCAACTTCCAGTTCCGTATACGAGGTAAAGACTCAAGTAAATGGGTACATCTTCTCCTGCGATTGAGATTACGGGAATGCCCACCGGGGAAAACAAGTGATGGATCTCAGATCGCCGAACCTGAAATGACTCATCGTAAAGCAGTGGAGTCAAGACAAGACGACAAGGGATGAACGGGCCAGGCGAAATACGAATTGTGAAATCCATTTCTGCAGCACGTCGAGAATGCGGGTGAATTGGCCTGTGGCAAGCTATGTTCGAGCGACACACGGGGGAAGGATGGAACTGGAGGAAATTTTATCAAACCTGATCATGCTCAATTGGTCCCTTCCAAGTCAATAAGACCTAATTATAGCTTCAATCGTTGAGCTCGAACCGTAAGAGCACGTAGTACAACAGGACAAGAAACTACGGAAAATCCTGAGCATAAGAGATGTACTGAGGGTTGACAATGCTGTCGAATGGTATAGATATGTAGAAAAATTTGCTGTACAGAGATATGCCTGCGGTGAACTTTGAGATTTTTGGGGCAGAAATAGAGTGAATACCACTATATGAATAGCGAGATCAGGTGCTGAGTGATCTACCCGGATCAATTCTCCAAGCTACGACACAATAACACTTGTCGTAACGAGTGACGATGAATTGAGAAGAGTAGTATGGTGGACCAGTGGTAATGACGAGGCGGTGAGTATGGTGGTCAAAGTAAGAATGAGAACAGGGTCGATAAGAACGCGCGAGTTGACAGAGTTGACCGGGATCTTTGAATTTCTAAGATAGTATCAGGGACTTCCTTTGCAATAGCGCGTTTGGGTTCGAACGTTCAACTTCATCACACCTTCGGCAAACACCGGTGGCACCACAGGCCATCTCCAACTCCCTCGCCTGGTCTAGATATCGTCGCATAGCTCTTAGCATCAAGTCTTTTTGGAATCTAACTGTACACCCCGCTCTGCTGAGTTGTTTCGAAGCTTGGGTATCGGTTTTCTTGCGGCGCATTCAGCTTCACTTGTCATGTACCGTCCCTGGTATTTCCACAATACTTTCGATCATCTGGGACTGTCAGCTTATAATCGGACGAGTCGTATAGAGTTTTCTTTGCGGCGCTGTCTCAAAATCCACAGGTTTGAATATAGTCCAGGAGCAGCAATCAACATAAGACACTCTGAGCATGTCCCCTTCAACCTTGGCAGGCCACTTTCCCTTAAGACTAATTATGGCACTATGCCGTGCTACTCCTGGCAATTGGTGATCTCGATTCCCAGCGCTTAGTGCAATCATATCAGCGTCTACCTCTTCTCCTTCTCGACCGATCTCTATCCGCGGTTCCCACATCCATACTTTAGTCTTCCCCTCCCACTCATTCCGCCCACCACCTAGCCTATCCTCGATCCTCATTATTTTACTCCAAGCACCATCATGCCTCGCTCCAGACGCCGATATATCAGACTTGAAGGCGAGTCCCTCCACATTACCTTTCTATCTGTTTCATGATCCTTACACTCTATCTACAGTCGTCGACGGAAAGAATCTTCGGGTCCCCTCCTGCCGCAGCCCTGTTGGCGTCTACATATCCATCAATGTCAACTCATGGAGACGCTGGAAATCGACCATCAGTGTCTTATCATCTGATGAATCTGTAACGTGGGAGAATACTGTAACTCTGTAAAGTCCATGCAGACTTTCTGCCTCAATGCGAGAACTGATTATCGGTTTATAGATCATCACATGCATCACCTGCGTTGTCAATGGAGATCAGGGCGTCCTATGAACTTGGTCGAATGCTAGGCGCTGGAGAGGTCATCGGGAAACTTGAAATATCGTGGGATGAGCTACTCGATCATGGAGATGAGCCATTCGGTGAGTCACTTGCTCCTCGTTCATGCACATGTACCAACATATCGTAGATCTATCCTTCCCACCTGTGTATGGAGTCCACCCTTCCCTTACGCTGAAGGCTGCCGTTGTACACACTTGCGACAGTCAAAATGGTGTATTGTCTCGTGTAAGTGACACTGCCCTCTGACCTGTTAGCTTTTGCTGACAGAACACCAACCATAGTCCCTCGTAGAACCCAAGATTGCTCGAGACACAGATGCGGGCCACGCACATCTTTCCAAATACGTGACGAACAAAGCAGTCTCTCACCTGAACCATGCTATGCAGCGTTTTCAGTTGGTTTTGGACCAGTGTCCAGTCAGCCATCCAGAACACACAACAGCTCTCACCAACCTTGCGTGGACCCGCCTCATAGGCTTCCTTCGAAATGATATTCAAGACATTGATACTACTACTTCTCTCTTTCGCAAAGCCCTTGCATTGCGTCCTCAGTACCATCCTGATTATTCCTTATCTTTGTATAATCTTGCAATAGCGCTGACTTGGCGCCACCACAAGAAACGTTCTGCTGCCGACATCCGCGAAGCCGCCCAACTCTATCATGAGTTACTACCTCTCTGTACAGAAGGCACCTACCTTCGTAGGATCGTGATCGACGGATGCGATGGTCTTCCAATAGATGCATCCGATGAAGGCATCCACCTTCGAAGAGTCGTCCTCGAGCTCTGTCCTCTGGGCCATCAACATCGTCCAAGAGCACTCGACGGACTTTCATCGACTCTCGGGTTACGCTTTAGACAGCACGGTAGCATTGATGATCTTGACACGAGCATACAACTCGGTCGTGAAGTCGTGTCTCTGTGCCCTGAGGGACATGCTGGCTGTGAAGACTACCTGACCAACTTGGCCATCTCACTCGAGTGTCGCTTTGATCACCAAGGCAAACCTAATGACCTCGATGAGGCCATCTCTTTGTACGAGGAAGTGTTGCACCTTTGCCCTGCTGGCCACGAATATCGTGACAAGTCGCTAGACGACCTAGGGGCTGCCCTTGTCACTCGTTTCTGCAATCGCAACGACATTGATGACATCACCCGAGCTATCAGCCTCCATCGCGAGGCACTGACATTACGCCTACCTGGGCATCCATATCGTGACACCACGCTTAATAACCTTGCCCTCGCACTCCAGAAGAGATATTACAAATTGCATGTCAGTGAGGATCTTAATGAGGCCATTGATCGGTATCGCGAATCCCTTCGGGTAACGCAACATGACGATCCAGATCGCCATAGAACTCTTTACAATTTGAGCGAGGTACTCTGCTCTCGTTTCATGCAAACTCAGGAGAATGAAGTTGTGGAGGAAGCCATTACTCTTTGCCAAGAATCATTGGCGGCTCTGTCTTCACTGCACCCCGACAGGCATTTCGGCTACATGCGGCTGAAGGAGGCCTATTTGTCTCGTTACCAGATTCTACGTGACCCTGCTGATTTATCGCTTGCAGTGGAGAACTTCAGACTCGCATCAAGACATCCTACTCAAGGATTTCCAGAACGCATCATTCAGGCATATTATTGGACTGTTGTATTGGAGCAGCATGGTCATGGATCCGCTCTGGAGGCCTACTCAACATTTTTCGAGCTTCTGGATGCTCATTTGTCAACACGATCGTCGGCAACTTCACGGCGCGAAGCTGCCGCTGCCTTCCGTTATGCTAGATTGCTGCCTGTAGATGCGGCATCATGTGCCATACACCATGAAAATCCACAACACGCAGTGGAACTCTTGGAGCAGGGCCGTGGCCAGCAATGGTCGCTGGCCTCTCGACTCAAGACTCCAGTTGAAGACCTCGAGTCAGCAAATCCGACACTGGCCCACAATTATTTGGAGCTGAGCAAGCGTGTGTCCAATGCCGCCCAAAGTTCTGCGACCATCACCGACAGAGCTGCTGCTGATCGGGAAGCAACAGAGTATAGGAGACTTACAAGACAATGGGAAGCTGTAGTAGCTGAGATACGTAATCTTCAGGGGTTCTTGCGATTCCTACTCCCACCTTCGTATGAAGACCTGCAAGCGGCAGCGCGCCAGGGCCCAGTCATCATCCTCATTGCAAGTCAATACTCGTGCAGCGCTATCATCGTCCCAACGTCAGGAGACCCCCATCATGTTCCCTTGCTGTCTGTTACTCTCGCAGATCTGACCAATCTCAAAGATCGTTTCGCCAGGGCCATACGACAGGCATCTCGGATGAATCCAAGGGAGTCGAGGACGGATCTAATAGTACTATCGCGGATAATATGGGACGAGATTATGCTACCCATCGTCAACGTACTCGAGCACGTCCTGAAACTAAAGCACCGCTCTCGAATCTGGCTGTGTCCAACTGCAGCTTTCACGTCCATTCCTCTCCACGCAGCTAACCCCTTTCTAACAAAGGCAGATCGCTCTGGGAAGGAGCCATGCCTGGAAGATCTCTACATCTGCTCTTACACGCCGACACTTTCTGCTCTGGTCAGATCTAGACAGTTGATGAAGAAGCGTGTGTCTCCATCCTTCGTGACAATCGGACAAGGTCAGCCGGGTGCAGGGAAAGGCAAGGAACTCTTGGCTGTCGACAGCGAGCTTGAGCTTGTCCATAAGCTCATCCCTGCGACTGCCAACCGCACCACTATTTCAGGCGACGCAGCCACACGAGCAGGTGCACTCGAAGCTTTGCAGCAGAACACCTGGGTGCACCTGGCGTGTCATGGCAAGCAGGACCGTATGCAGCCTTATGATTCGCATTTCGTCATGAGAGACGAACACTTGACGTTGCTCGATATCATGGAGAGAGACATTCCGCACGCTGAATTCGCGTTCTTATCTGCTTGTCATACCGCCGTCGGCGATGAAGAGACGCCCGACGAAGTGATTCATCTTGCAGCTGGACTCCAGTTTTCGGGGTTCAAGAGCGTCGTTGGCACGCTGTGGGAGGTCGACGATTCTGTCGCGAAACACGTCGTTGAAGCTTTCTACAAATATATGTTCAAAGACCTTAAAGATGGTGCTGTTATGGACTGTACGAAGGCGGCCTGGGCACTCAACTGTGCTACACATGCCGTGAAGACGAAAGTGCCGCTCGAGCAGAGGATGGTTTTTTATTCATATTGGTGTATAATTCTATCGTATGCCTTTCACCCTGGTCTCTAGTACAAGTTGTTGATCTTTCATCCCGTTGGTGTACCTGGCCCATTCTTTGATACTTGCTTTGCTTTGCATTCCCTCTCGTGCCATCGTTTACTCTTAGAAGCGTCTTTTGTAACTTAATACATTGTTCGAGCATTTGAAGTAAGTCCTTCATACATGTTGTCACTGAGGGAAACGTGTCAGGATGCAGGGAGAGCACTAGTCCGTGTCGCTGGTCTCAAGTTCTTTGATCGTTGGCTTGATCTGCACGCTGGTTCAGCCATAATTTCGAACGAATGTCTCTTTCTTCTATTTGATGGGCCTCGGGAGACTACTACACCACTGTCGCTTGATTGCGGAAGTTCTTCTCCACGAGCTCCAAATTCAGTGTTTCTGATCATGAAATCCTGATGGCATCATTCTGTCTGAAACAACTACCGTAAGACGCAGCAAGATCAAATAGCATCATTACTGACCGTGATGACTAGTGTGCCTTGATCGACGGTGCGAAACAACACGGTGATAAGCCCGAGATCATGTGTGAAGTGCTCGCCACAAGAGAGATGTAGCTTGACGTCTGAGTGGCATGTCTGCCACCCTTATCGACGCCGTTCATGGAGGAAAACCTGACATTGGCATTGAGCAAGATACACGCACATCAATGGGAAGTGAAACTGACCAAGGAATTGGAGTTTTGGAGCTACCCTTCAATTTTCGACTGAATTTCCCGTGTCACAAAAACAATCTCATCTACAAAACCCCCGTGTATTTCCTGCATTTGATTCATAGGATACAAAAAAGGGGTGCGACAACGAACGTGAGCAGTGATGGCGCCAACTATGAACCGTCTGTTCGATAGTCGATCTTTCATGCAGTCCTCCCCATGATAATTCGCAGTGGTTGTAACCTTCAAAGGACTACAAATTGCAGCTAGATAGGCAAATGAAGGAGCACCGACTGAATGTATACATAATCCGGCCTTAAATAACAATCAATGTCAGGAAGGGATCGAGCTCGATTCCAAGTCGCACCAATAATAATGGCAATGTGACATCATTCTATACACTGGTTTGTAGCGGGATAGACTTCGACCAAAGGGGGTTAGCACACAACACCTGTGAGGAGGTACCAAATCAACGTACCTTTGAACCACAAAAAGGGTGGTTTCTAATTTCAATTGCATCAGAAGAAGACTAATCCGATGTTGACTGATCTGATGAGTTATTGCAACCCAAACATTAGGTCAGGGTATCAGGCCTAAGAAAGGACTGATCGCATATCGTACGGACTAACATATCCTTGACTTCATCTACAAGGTTTTGTGCTGGGCACAAGCTAGAAATATAATCTTAATGTGTCCTCCATCGTATGTTAGTTTACCTATATACAAATTCCGTTAGGAATGGGATAGTGGGCCAAATAATGGTGTGCGAACCTTCACCGGGACTCCGAGTCCGTCTGGGACACAACACTGACAGTAACTTATGTAGTACTTGGTTGGTGACTTCAAGAACTTCATCGATCATAGGCCGCTTCGGCAAACACCGAAAGCAAATACTAAGATAACGCGATTAATACACCGGTGCGTAAGTTAGATTTCTATGATTTGTACCTATCTTGTTGATTTTCATTGGGTCACTGAGCAACGTCCTAGTCTCAGACATCGAGTTGAAATTATCTACTCCAGATGCAATCCAGATCTGCAAAAATTCTTTACTGAAAACCTTCGAAAATATTCTCTCTCCGTCGTCCGATGACCGAGACTCTGTTCGAACTTCGCGAACCATCATTGAAAGGGAGAACTTCATATCATTTTGTGCGATACACCTTGGAATTGACAATGCCCATTATCATCAGATTTGGCCACTTATTGTCCACCAGAATGTATCTTACACCCAAGTTTCCGGTCCTGGCTTACTATATACGCCTATAGATTGATGGCCAATGGGCCATGCAGTGACCTGCATATTGGACAAAAAGGCTCAACACAGATCCATGTGTGAGGGTATCCAAGTTATCCAAGCCACGAGGCATCTTGTAGGTGTTCTTGTGTGCTTCTTATAAGCTCCTGCTTTTAACCCACATCCCCAGATTGTCCAACCTCAGAGCTCTTGATAAACTTACACCATATATTGCAAATCAAGGCTACTTGACATGTCTGTTGCCTCAGAATCCTCCCAGACTGATGTCTTGGAGTATATTATCACCCACATATTCTGTCCTGTCAAATTACTGCAGCACAGTGATTATACTCTCAACAACGATGGCTCCCTCCTTAATGTTGTACTAGGCTCAGCTTGCAAATTTGTGAGTTCATTGCCTGACCATGATCAGGAGCAGTGGAGTCCTTTGTTGAAGATGCTGGAGAATCTTGCTGTTATGATGACTTCTCCTTCCCTGACTGGGGAGGTTGTCGAGTCGCAAGTCAAATCCATGCAAGCAGGAGGTATGTATGTAGTGTTGGCACCAAAAATTGACATATCAAAATTTCTCTGTAGATATTCTTGCATATCTGATTTGGGAACAAAATGCTGCTGTAGTACTTTGTATGCTTGACATGAAAACCATCTTTGAATCCTTTGAAGTTTCACCACCTGCATATGCTGTCATGGAGGCAAAGGGGAAGCTCCTGTGTTTGTATCCAGGACCTGCAATTGCCATATCCAACTCAGTGGTGGATAACCCTACCTTTCCTCCTGAATTTGGGAACTTTCTCTCGCACATGAGCTCTGATGGGTTAGATCCCTCAGTTCACAAAGGAGAGACTGTACATCCTCACTATATCACCCAGCTTCTCACTGATATCCTTTACATGTTTGGCGAGCCATCTGATGTCCCTTGTATTTGAAAATGTATATGCAATGATGTATTACAGTCCAACACCCCATTCCCTTGGCGAAGATCATCCATATGGCTTGTCATAAGGGTTGTATTGCAGACATCTCTCAAGTGCACAAGCCTTGGATGAAACAGTTACAAGGCTTTCATGGCTTCTCTCATGACCAACCTTGTGTCTGAAGCACTTGAGGGGGATATATTGAGCGATCTGCTCTACTCCATGTCTGTTAAAATCAGTTGCCAGTTGGTCAAGCTTCAGGCTGAAGATGAATTCTTAGCAATTGCAATGTACAAAGCTATGGAAGATATCAAGGACTGACTGGAGCTGTGCTGGAAGAATGTTCAGGCAGTGCAGGTGGATTCCCCTCATTGGGATGCCTTGGAGGTACATATAATCAGAGATACTAGACTCTCTTTGACTGAAAGCAAGGAGTATATTGCCTCTATCCTACATCTTACCCATGTCCAACCCACTGTGCTAGAATTTTAGCCTCATCATCACCCATGGGGCACTATTGATGACTTCCTTGGTCCTGACACCAATTTCTTCGAGAGCGCTTATGCCAAAGACCCCTTTGTAGTACTTTTGGATTTCAAATGTGCCATCAAGCAGGACATTGATGGCTGGGTGGATCATGTCATGAACCTCGATGCTGCTTACATTGATGCTGCTGTGAAGAAGTAAATGGTACTAGGTGGTTAGCAACTAGCACTACTTATCCTAAGAGGTGCGAGTTTAATTGATTGGCCCGAGAGGACTGCTATTGAAGCACTTCCTTCAATTATGTGCGAGGGAAGTAAGTGAGCGAATGAGTTATAATCTATATTGGCCTAAGAAACTTGAACGCTGGCCATAGGTATACCTCTGAATTCCTATACCAAGGAATTGACTGGGAGTGCAGGTGAAAATTGACTGATGTTAATAAAAAATCAACCGCGCTCTATGGAGCAGCTGGTCACAAGGGATATAGCGTGAGTGAAGAACAGTGCTAAACTACTGGTCGCGGGTTGAGTATTCTTGCAGAGCCTTAAAGGTAAGATCCTAGCAGTATGGACTTCAGAACGGTCAAATTGCACAGGATTGTCAGGAAAGAACAAAATAGATGGATAGTGCAAGGTCTACAAAAATAACACAAGAATGACTCTCCTATAGAGCTGATTCTGGGGGAAAAAAAACTACTCCATTGTATGTACTGCGGTCGTTTATATCATAGCGCATGAATGTCCGGAATGTGTTACAGCTACACATGCCCCTATTCATTTTCCTCATTTACACTTGTATTACGTCATGACCGCTGTAGGGAATGAGATTGCTCTAGGCTTAGATCACCCATATTATGACTCATGACAATTGGTATAGTGTATAACTCACCATCTATGACTTTCCCACAAAATGCGCCAGAGGTGCGATGCTTTCCCACACTATGCGACGCATTCCCGCACTCGGTCGCCTTATGTCGTGCAGCATCTGGGAGCATCCATCCATTGTCCAACCAGTCCCCTAGTGAGTCCTTTCCTGTTTATTCTCATATCAGACCATATTTAGCATCATACAATATTTTATTTCATCATGGACCCTGTCCTTACATCATTTACATACTTAGAGTGCTCCCTATTCACTTCCGAGCCCTGGGAGCACACCTAGGCACAGCTTACCTATTGCCTAGGAAGTTTTCAGACACCACCAAACCACCACAGGATACACCTACAACCACCATCCAGTAGTTGTCTAGCAGTTAGAATCCATCATGAGTTAGCATCCATCAGAGTTGTCACCCTAGCCATTAGCATCAGTCCATTATCACCAGTCATCATTCACCAGTCTTTACATATTTGCGCACCACACGCGCTCCATTCCCACGCTTCGCGCTCTTATGTGCTCAACATTCCCACATGCGCACTTCCAGCGCGCTTCACCAGAGTTGATCTAGCATCACTTCGTGGATACTTGCTTTCTTTGCTTCCCTTAAGGGTCGAACATATCACCTGGTGCACTTCGACCAACATCTAGAGAGTCAGTAGCCTTCCTCTCACCCCAGAGTGAGAGCCCTTCTTTCTTTCTTTAGCTCTGCAGCCCAGCAGAGTTGTTGAACCTTCACCGCGCAATGCCATGCCATCACTAGACTCATCTTCTTTCTATATTTTTATTACATCATGTTACAGCAGTGGTTACCCCCTATCTCTTTCTCCGTACTCATGTGTATTACGTCATGACCGCACCTGGATGTGCCATCATTAGACCAGCGTCCGTCTATACTTGTATTACAGCATGACCGCCACGTGCCGTCGCTAGCTGACTTATCCCTTATCTCTGACTCAACTCTTATCTCTGACTCGGTCCTTATCTCTGACTCAGCCCTTATCTATGACTCGACTCGATGACGTATACGTACCTGCCCTAAAGCAGGTTACTACTATATAACACTGGTCTTGTACTTAGGTAGACTTCACTTTAATCTACTAGGTCCAACCTGAACTATCCTTCACTTAAGACCCCCAATCTTAAGCCGTCTGATAACCGATATTCAAGTTAGAGACACTCTCTCTAACTTGTCTTAAGAACCTTACATTTGTGAGGATACGATCCGGCTTTAGGCGTACTCTTATCGAGTACCTATTGTCGCGCTTATCCTAGTCGACCTACGGTTTACCGTAACACATCATGATCACCGCAGCCATCGTTAGATGACTCATCTCTTATCTCTGACTCATTGCTGACATATGTGTACCTGCCCTAAAGTTACTTACGTCTTATATATAGCCAGCAATGTACTTAGAAGTACTTTACTTTAATCTTACTAGGTTTTCACCTGGATAACTCTTTCGCTTAGGACCTCCAATCCTAAGTCGTCTGAAACAGATATTCAAAGCAGAGACACTCTCTTTGCTTTGTCTTATGACCCTTACATTTGTAAGGTCTTGATTCAACTTCAACCGTCACTCTTATTGAGCAGTTGTTGTTGCGACTATCCTAGTTCATAACAAAAGATTAAAGTCCTACTCCGACCCTCTCCATCAGAGAGGTCCCAGAAACCCAGAAACCAGACACAGAGAGAGATGAAACGTCCCCTGTAAACAGACACATCACCAGACCTGAAGATCAGGATGTTGACCACCAACACTGCAGAACTTAAAGCTGGAGCTCTGACAATGTATGATGGAAGCCCTCAGCAGGCTTTATGTTGGTTGTTTGCAATTAAGGCATACTTTGCCCTTAATGCTACAATCTACAACACAGATGAAAGAAAAGTCATTACTGCTCTTGCATATATGACTGAAGATAGTGCTATGGGGTGGGCACTCACCTTTTACACCAAGGTCAAGAACTCTGCTTCCAAGTCCTATGGAACCTTTGCAAACTTCGAAACAAAGTTTAAAGAAGCCTTCATACCAGCTGATGCCATTGGCACAGCCATGAATAAACTCCACACCTTGAAACAGACGGGTGATCTCACTTCCTACATCACCAGTTTCAAGACCCTTGCTGTGCAAGCCTCTGTAAAGCAAGACGCCATCTTGATCACCTTTTTCAACAATGGACTTAAGAAAGGAATCGGTAATTCCATTTATCAGATGGAAACCATTCTTACAGACTTTGACAAGTATGTCACCACAGCCATTAGGCTCAATAGTAACTGGCAAAGGGGTGCCATGTTCTGACAGAACAATCGCACTACCACCAAGCCAACCAGACAATGATACGTCCCTAGACCCTCCATTGATCGACATGATCCAAATGCCATGGAGGTAGACCGGCTCTCCGAAGCCAAAAGAAGCGACCATATGAAGAAAGGGTTATGTTTCACATGTCACCAGAAAGGACACATGACTAGAGCATGTCCCCAGAAGAAGAATGGAAAGACCCCCATTTGTCATGAAGAAATAGAAGATAGTGACAAAGAAGATGAAGATACAACAATCCATTGCCTAGCAGAGGATTTTTAATGTGGAAGACTGGATCGACATCAGTATCTTCCAATGTACCCATCAGACTTGTACAAAGTATTGGGATCAGAGAGGAACTCCATGTCCCCATTTCCCTTATCTTGAAAACTTGTCTGAAAACCATCGAAACAACAGCTGTTGTTGACTCCGGCGCTGCCGGAACATTCATTTCTGAAGATTTTGTCAAACTTCACAACATAAGAATGCATAAGCTTATAAAACCATTCCGAGTCACCACTGCGGATGGAAGCTATGTGAAAGGAGGCACTATCACTTGCTACTGTGTCCTCATTGTGAAAGTAGATGAACGATCTATGATTGGAAAATTCAATATCATGTGACTTGGTCACCATGATCAGATTTTACTCAGGATTCCCTGGTTGCATGCCATGGACCCAGTAATCAGATGGAAAGCAGAAACACTAGAACTCTCTCGCACAGAGAAAAGCGATCAGATTGAAGAAGATGTTGATACTGAATGAAAGAAGAATGATCTCCCACTGCTTTTCCAGAAAATCATTGTTAAAAAACCAATCCCAGTTGTAGTGCTGCTGAAGGCACCTCCTGCGAAACCAATCCTGGTTACAACTTCACTCCAAGCCACTATAGAAGAAATCCCAGATGAAGAAGAACCCCCAGTATTACCTAACCTTGATCCTATCCCTGATGACAACAATGATTCTTTTGACATGAAGGACAATGTTTGGACAACAGAATATGCACCACCTGTACAGGACCTTGCCATGTATCATCTAGATGACAATGAATTTTTGGTTGAATACCCTGCCAATGCCACAGAACTCAGGGTTATTAGCAATATTTCTATGGATACTCCATTAACCAAAGATGGTACTAGTGCCGTGGAACAGAAACTCTTGGTTGCACCCCTGCCATGACCTACGGAATATGTCAAAACCAGTAACAAAGCTCAGCAGTTTGTGTTAGTGGCTGGGCTTGAGCAGAAGAAGAAGTCATTCGAGGAACTTGTCCCTTCCTATCTTCATGATTTTGCCGACATTTTCACTAAAGATGGTCTTAATCAATTACCACCTGAATGACTGGGTG